AAATAGTTGGTATATGCATTATATCAATGAGAAATATTATCAAACTTGCTGAATGATTATGATGTGATTTTATAAAATATGTTTGAATGAAATGATATGATAAAGTATGATATTAATCTTAATGATTTAATAGTTGTAACTACATCAATCAGAATATGAGTGGAATGCATTGGAGTAGAATTAATTTGGAAGTACTTTACTAAGCACAATCTTGTGAATGGGAAAAAGGATAACTCTGAAAATAACTTTAAAAGTTGAATATGAATTGTATCTAGTATGAATAGTTACAGAGATACACTGGGGGGTATAGAGTGGAGACGATGAAAATATGGGGAAAATGTAGGATGGTGTGTACATACTCTTTCTGAGAGCGAATGCGTCTCATGGTCTCACATTCATTTCCTGACTAGACTCTTAACTATGTCTTTGCTAAGGAGCCTGATTATTGTACATGTTGTATCTGTGTACATGGGCTAACCGGCGACTATTTACCTAGTTGAGTAAGACCTCAAGAAATGCTGAAGGCATGGATATTTGTGATCACAGTGCATTGGGATTGCGTATTAGAATGAGAGAACGGATAATAGATAATAAATTATGAATGATGTGTCTGTGAATATGTTTGCAATGCAAATTTAGTGTAAAAATAGATATATTGCATTTATATTATAAACTATGATTTTATGATATAATGTTTGAAAAAGGATAAAATAAATATTTATCCTTACTTATATTTTTAGAAAAACAGGATGACGAAGCCTCAGGGAAGAGTTAGATTAATAGATAGTTCAGTACATAATAGGCTAAATTATGTATTTAATGAATATCAAAGAGTATGTTATTTTAAATTTGTTGTTCTTTTGGAAGATGAACCTAGAACTTTTATTATGATAGAAATAGATTTCTTTTGTAGTATCTCGTTTGATTTTCTTAGAAGTAAGATAGATCAGACTCTATGTATTTATATGTATAGTGGTACGGTTAGGACTCCGGTAACCCTCACCTATCTATTTTCCTACCACAATCATGACCCTCTTAGAAGACCGACCAAATAGACTTTTAAGCAAGTGACTGACACAGAGGTTATAGTTGATTTAGACGATTGTTATCTGGGATCAAATGATGATCTAAATTTAGAAGATTTGACCGAGATAGAGAGTTAGTATGTAGGTTAGGAATAGGACTGATCTTTAGTACCTGGTTATCTGAGAGACTGCTTGTGACTTGAATTTGCATATATGATATAATTATTTTGGTTATGTAAATATTGTTTTAAGTCCTATATATTTTGACAAATAGTTTGTAAATTTTTATATCTGATATAAGTAATGTATATTCAGGTTTCCTACTGCAAATACTAAATTTTAGTTGTGATATTTATTTATTCTCTCTGTAATTTATTATTGTTGTTCTATTAGCATTGTAAAGTTCAAAATTCTCATCTACATATGTATTTAAAAGAAAACTTCACTAATTTGCTATACTAAATTCATTACATCCAAGATGTTTTATTTCAAATGATTAAGAATAAGATGTACATTATATGAAATTAAAAGTTTAAAGTATTACATAACCTAATTGAGCTAACTCAAAAAAAGATCATATTATTTCAATTATATTTAATATTTTTTATATTTTTTTATATAACCATTTTGTGTTTCTATGTGTTGATTGTAGGAAAAACAAGACTTTTTTTTTTATTTTTTATATTAAATTCATCATCCATTTTTTGGAATTTGAGTTAACAAGGTAAACCCTAAATTTCTATTATTTTCAATCTTATTTTTATGAATCCAAAATATTAAATTTGGGGTGAATTATTGTATTGAAATAAAAAAATTTATATGAAATAAACACTATTAAAATTTGAAAAATAAAATCATTTGAACTATATATTTATTAATTCTTATATTTACATAGTTATTAATATCTAAAACTAGTTATCTATAACATATCAGTTAAAATTATAAAACAAGTTAAATAAATTTTAAAATAAACTTATGCATATATTATTAAATTTTAAATAATTTATGAGTATTACATTATAAAATTTAATCATGTACGATCAATAAGAAAAATTAATTTTAATAGTTGCATTTAATGTGTGTTTAGGATATAAAATTGAAACAATTTTATCTATGATATAAGTAAAAGTTTCCTAAATTTTATCTATAACAAAACAAAAATTATAGATTGTGTTATTAATTTTTAGGTTAAAACTTAAAAGATGAGATAAAATATTGATTCTAAAGTAATTATAAATTTTTACTTAATTAAATTTTTTGTTTTTATACTTAAATGAATGTGCAATTTTAGTTCTCTTAATTTTAATTACTTACATTTAATCTATAGATTTTTAAATGTTTAAATTAAGTTCATAACTCTAAAATTAAGAAATTTATTATATTTTATTTTATATTTTGATTTAAATTTTTATATACTTTTCTTTATTTATTGGTATAAATTAACATAAATTCACACCTTCATTATGTTTTTATTAATTATTGAATAAAATTTAAAAATAAAAATTTAATTTAAATATTTAAAAATTAAAATAATAAAATGTAAACAATTAAAATTGAAAAAATAAAAATCACACATATATTAAAGCATACTAACAAAAAGTGTAATTAAATATAATTTTTTTATTAATTGTATTATTATAAATAAGACTTTTATATTGTATCTTAATAGTTATTTTTTTAATAGATAAATATTTCCTCATTATAAATGCATTTTTATCTTATTTTTTATTAGATTTTTTATGATAATATATTTTTAATTAACTTTTAAAGTGTAATTTAATATATTTTATATTTTAATATTTTTTAACATGTGTTACATAACATAAGAATATATATATATATATATATATATATATATATAAAATTTTATTAAAAATTGCCATATTTATTAGCATTAATGCATTTAGTTAAATTGAATTTTGTAATCTTTATTAAAAAAATTACTATATATAATTTTTTTATCATATACAATGTTGTACATATTAAAAAATATTTTTAATTTAGTTTTATTATACAATTCATGAATAATGCATTAGTATTCATAAAATTGATATATGATTTGAATTTTTTAAAAAAGATAAATATTCATTTAAAGGAAAAAAAATCAATGAACATAAAAATGATTAGAGTATTCTCAAGTAAAATAAAACATTAAGAGAATGTTCCTTAACCTTGCAACAATACTTAAATAAAAAAGATACATTAACCAAGGTATCCATCAAGATATTCTTAGATTTTTTAATATGAGTTATTGAATAAAAGTGAAAAGCGTTAACCAAAAAAAATATGAAATTACTTTTGATACTTTGTATTTTATTGAAATTTTTTGTATTCTTTTTTCTACTTTGCCAAAACAAAAAAAATTGTAGTGTTTTTTTTTTTTATTAATGAATATTACATATATGTTTTGCAGATTTGGAATGTAGAAAAACATTGATTTCTTTCTAGGTCACAATGATTCATTATCCATGATATGTTCATTCTACATTCTAGTGTTGAAGTTCCAAGAGGATAAGTATTTTGCATCATTTAATTCTTAGTATATAACATATATAACTTACTCATAAGTTTGGAAGTGTTTAGTTGTGTTCTAGTTTTGACGCTCATGTCTTGCACTTAGCATTTTCTTTAAAATAATGGGCCCTATTATCATTTTCTTTTTGCCATTTTTCTTTTAATTTTATACACTTTATGCTTGATCTGTCACTCAAATTTAAGATTGCATTTTTTCTGGAAAGTTGATTATGAATTTTATGGCCACAATAATCCAGTGTGCTCTTGTTGCCATTGTGATCTATGCTGTGATAAGTCTGGTAAGAATTCTCCTTTATGTTGAGGGAGTGTATCCCAATATGGATAAGTGGCAGATCCTGGTGCAAGTGCTGATCTAGTTGTCGTGCATGGCTTAATATTTTAAAAAAATATATGACTACTGGTAGGATCAACCATGTAACATCTATTCATGACTCTTGCACGTGATGAAAGCTTTACTTTAACTAACTAACAAGTAAATTAAGCACTAAGTCATGTGTCAATTGATTCAACTGAAAGGTTAAGGGAGACAACAGTACACTAGCCCACGTTCATTACATGCACTACATCTAAGAGAATAATATATACATGTGCATCACAAACTCACAATAAATGTAGCAATACAAACCTAATATAACACATGCATTGTTTTGATATTTTTCAACAAGAGGAACATTGTCTTGCCTTTGATTCATATAATAAGTAAAATAACATTAAAAGTAGTGATATTTCACTTCACTATTTTCAGCTTCTACTTATCAACCTTTGAAGTCATTTTATAATGTCGAGGTCAAAAAAATCTTCTCTTTCAATTGATTCTGCCAAACATGTTCCTTGATTTTGCTTGATCGTTGATAGCACCTTTTTAATCATTAGCTATTATTGTTGCAGTAAAGAAGCAACCAAAGTACATTCTTCACTAACGCAATTGTTTAGAGCAATAACCCTAACATTCAATAATTTAATAGAGAAAACACACCCACACATGCTCATAGAATCTTTTCTCCTTGAGATATCAAGAAAATAAGAGAGAGAGAGTAATAATATATATATTATTTATTTATTAATAAAAATATATATTTTTTATTTTTTTTCATATTTCTCCCATAGTAAATAATTTTAAAATATATTTATTTTTTACCAATTTTTTTCCGCTCATTCTTTCTTACTCAAATAAAAGAAAATATAAGACTATTTCTTTTACAAATATTAATGTTTTTTTAGTAAGAGAGTAAAAGACACACGTTTAAACATAAATTATAATTAACATATTCTGTAATTATCATAAATAATTTAAAATTAAATTTATTAAAATTAATTTCACTAAACTTTATAACAAATGATGCTTTATGTTTTAGTAATAAAACATACTTGATTCGGTGATTGGGCTTTTTTGTCTTTAAGAAAAGGAAAAAATAATTAATGGGGCAGGCTATATTATTTGGATACTTTTGCTCAACTTACTTTGGGAGGTGTGAAAAGAAGAAATGCAGAAGGCGCTGAGAGCCTACGCGGAGGTTCTGAGACTTGTGAGACTTTTACCGAAGGACAGCAGGCCTTATTATGCTAAGTACGTCCGCGAAAACTTCGTCAATTATCGTGAGATCGACGCTTCTGATTCCCACGACCTCTTTCAACACACCTATAATCATTCTCTATGGGTTCTTCATAAGGTTTGTTTCCCTTTTCCCTCCTCTTTTCTCTTTTGGCTTACCAAACAGCATTGTTACTATTCTTAAATTTGCTTCCAAAATTATGCCATTGCAGTATTCGGTTGATAAATCTGCCGCTGATAAGCTCAAGGACATATGCCGTGGTTGATGCGATGCCTACCAAATGTTTGTTCTTATTTCTCACTCGAGCCTTTTGCTTTAAGCGCACATAATAACTTTTATTTCCCAGTTATTAGTAGTTTTGTAAAAGCTTCTTGACGATTTATTTTCAAGATGAGCTCTTTATAAATAAGACTCTCGATCAGTAACATACATTCAAGTGTGAATCATTTAGAATGAGAACTGCACATCGAGCAATCGCGCTAGGATTAAATCGACCACACGCTGACGGGAGTTTAATTGAAAATTGCCGTATAGCAAACTTCTCAGAAATAACCAAATCTTCACCGATTAAATTTATCAAAATGTTATTCAATTCTTTTCCTTTGTTTTCATCCTATAAACTTTATGTATAACATAACAGCATGTGTCCTTAATTGCATCAATCTCCTAATTTTTTATCCAGTTATATGAATTAGAAGAATTAAAGTAATGTAAAACATGGATATCAAGTAAATTTTGTTAAATCTAAAGAAGTATAAATATTTGTTTTTTTTTTTATGTGCATGGAGATATAAAATAATTTTAGATATATTTCATTAAATGTTTCAAAATATTTAAATATTGTTAATATATAAATTTTTTTTTATCATACTCCGTGCTAGTATATAAATAAGTAAAACTGATTGCTTGAAATTTAGTATTTGGTAATAAAAAAGGTTATTTAGATTTAGTTCATTTGAATGAGTTAGATTTAAAATCAAATTTGATTTGGCTAGAATTTTGATGAATAGATTTGACTTCTTAATTTGTTTATGACTTGATTATACCTTTTCTTTATATCAATTTTTTCAAATAAAATGTTATTTATTATTTTAATATTTATAAAATACTTTCAAGTTAACAAAAATTTAATCAATTTTTTAATATATATAAAGATTTTTAAGATTAAATATAATTTTTTAAATTGAAAAATATATGCAGAAAAAAAAACACAAAAATTATCTTTAAAATAAATAAATTTGACATTAAATCTTCATATTTTTAAATTGATATTGCAGTAATTTATTTTCTTAATATAAAAATATAATAAAAAATAAAAAACACATGCGTGTATATATATATATACTACAAAAAGAATTAGTGAATGACTGAGAATTAAAGTAGATAACTAGTTATGTTTTTACATCTTGTTTGAACAAGAATTTTCCTCCTAATTATAATTTTTTTTGTAAATTATTTATAAAAATCTAAAGATAATAGTGATAAAAAATATTAATATAAAATATAAAGAAATAAACATACCTGCATTACCTTTATCTTAAAAAGGCAGACTCTCTTTGTCATTCATTTTGGACATAAAAACAATTTGAATTCTTTCCAATGTTATTTTTCGATCTTTATCTTAAAAGACAATGTTTTTATAAGAAAATTGTCCAATACTACCATTTAGAGAAAAAAAAAATATTAGTTTAACTCAAAATTAGATTTGCAATGTATTCTCAGTTTTTGTAATAAGTAATAAGAATTAACTTTCAACATAGTATTTCTATGCAATCAATATGATGACAAACATGTCTAATATAAATTTTATTTAAATATACTAAAAAATTGATAAATTACAATAAGTAATACTTGACTACACCTTCAATCACACAACTTTCATATTTATAAATGCCACCTAATTCACACAATGAATTATTTATTTGATCTAGTAACTAAAGAACCAATCTATGTTCTACTTTTCATTAAAGTCGATATGCATTAAGAGTTTTAAAATCAAAATGATGAACCATTTAATTATTGACCAAAGATAAAGTAGAAATTTTTTCTCCCACAATTATTGTCATAGCCACCATTAAACACATCCTTTACTATGTGTTATGTCTCTAATAAGACATCTGTTAGAAAAAAAAAAACAACTTAAAATCCAAATTATCCAAGTTAATTTACTATAAACTGGTGAAATAACTCTAAAAAGTATGTTTATCAAATTGTATAAAATAATTCATAGGATAAAACTAACAACAACACTAATTAAATAATATATTGTCATATCATTTCACACCACAGTAGTGAAAGATATACACTAAGTTATTATAAAAAACTATCCCTCAAAGAAATAATAATAATAATAATAATAATAATATCAAACAATTAGTAATGATTTGAAATGTTGTACTATATGAAGTGCGCAAACATCGATAACACATTAATCTTGTGTTTTATGATTGCATGTATTATAAACTATGCCCTTAATATGAATAGTATTATAAACTATTCTCTAGTAGTTTTGTGTTTGTCATGTTCTGTGTTATTTTTTCTCAAAATGTTTCACTACGAGAAATTCATGAAATACAAACAAGTTTACAAACAAATTTCAATAATAAAGATGGATTTATAGATAGATAACTGCTAGTTCTCGGGGTCCTATAGTACCAAGTTTTAATAGATAACCTAGAAATATACCTGCAACCAAGTCTTTGCTAGGAGAAAAATCTGTTGATCTTGTTGTAACTGGCAAAGATGTTTCTAAATTATCACCTACAACAGGAAAAACATTTACTCTAGCATACATGGCTAAAAGTATATCTAAAGGACTTTGTTACTTTTGTGATGAACCTTCTACACCAACTCATAGCGTGACACATAAGAAATTACAATTACATGTATTAAACTCTTTGAATGTAGTAGTTGTAGATGGTACAAAGCTAAAAATTTCATCTGTGGTTAAGAATTTTACATGGACTATTCAACAAATCTCTTTTACTTCAGATATGTTGCTTATTCCTTTAGGATGTTGTGATGTGGTGTTAGATATTGAATGGTTGGTTATTCTAGGAAATATTATTTGGAATTTTGAAAATTTGACTATGGAATTTGTAGTCCAATGCAGAAGACATGTTCTTGGAGGTGCTATAGAAAATGGAGTTCAAAAAGTGAAAAAATAGCAACTACAAAGAACTTTTAATGAGGGTATCCATCTTACTATGTTGCAGTTATGTTATGAAAAAAATTCATTACTTCATTCCTTGACCACACATGCTAATTAGCTTGACATTCTACAAGTGATTTTACAACTCTTATATGCTTCTGTAGATATATTTTAGGAGTCTACTCAACTACCTTCCACTAGACTTCACCATGACCATAAAATTTCACTTATCCACAATATTAATCCGACAAATAAGAGACCTTATAGATATTCCAAACAGCAGAAAGATATCATTGATAGCTTAATCCAGGAATACTTAAAAACTGGAGTTATTCAGCCTAGCAATAGCCCTTGTGCCAGCCTTGTTATGTTAATAGGCAAGAAGGATGGATCTTGGAGGTTATGTGTTGACTACATGGATTTAAATAAAGCTACTATTAAGAATAAGCTCCCTATTCCTTTGGTAGATGATTTGCTGGATGAGTTAAATGGTTCTACTATATTCTCTAGAGTGGATTTAAGGGCAAGATATAATCAAGTTAGAATGGCAAGTGAGGATGTAATTAAGACAACATTTAGGACACATGGTGGACACTATGAATATTTGGTTATGCCATTTTGTATCACAAATGCACTTGTAACTTTTCAAGGACTCATGAATGACATCTTTAAACAGTTTTTAAGGAAATTCTTACTATTTTTTTTTATGATATACTCATTATAGCAAGACATTAGATGAGCATATGCACCACTTGTAGTAAGTATTGACAACCATGAGGACCAATTTCTTATTTGGTATGAGGTCCAAATGCTATTTTACTATCAATAAAAGTAAAATATCTTGGTCATTTTATTAGTGGTGAAGGGGTTGCAACTAATCCTACTAAGATAGAAGCAATGGTTTCTTGGTCATGACCTTAGTCAATAAAATAACTCAAAGGATTTTTGGGATTAGCTAGCTATTACAGACTATTTATTCATAGATATTTAGTTATCACTGTCTCTAACATATAAACACTTGCTCTATTTTACACTTGTCTTATCCCTTCTAAATTTTAATAAATAATTTGTAATTGAAGTAGATGCTTTAGGTTTTGACATTAGAGCTATTTTGATGCAAGTTAAGCATCCCATTGCTCACATTAGTAGATATTTGAATAAGCAATAACATTCTCTCTCAATTTATGTAAAGGAGCTCCTGGCTATGGTATTTGCTATCCAAAAGTGGAGACATTACTTGTTGAATAAGCATTTCATCATTAGAACATATCACAGTAGCCTGAAGTTTATATTGGAGTAGAAGTTATCTACTGTTTTCCAACAGAAATGATTGGTCAAGTTAATAGAATTTGACTTCTCTATTGAATACAAGCAACACAGAGAAAATGTGGTGGCTGATGCTCTTTCACGACTGGATTTGGTTGAATGTCACACATTAACTACTTAGGAATTACAATTAGATTTGTTGACTAGGATTCAACACTTGTGGTCCACTGATCCTGATTTGCAGAAGTTGATTTATGATGTTACAAAGGATCCTTCATTCCTTAACTAGCATAGTTGGTTGAATAGAGAATGAAGAAGAAAAAGCAGATTGGTTGTAGATAATGATCCAACCTTAAAACAGGCAGGGATACTACTTTACAGAGTTAAATTGATGATTTATTGGAAAGGATTACACAAAGATATCTAGTGTTTATTCAAAAATGTACTACTTATTAGCAATGTAAATATGAGACAACAACTACTCCTGATCTTCTTCAGCCACTCCCAATTCCTAAACATGCTTGGCAACACATCACAATGGACTTCATTGAGGGACTATCCCTTTCTTATGGCAAGCAAGTCATTTTTGTGATTGTGGACAGATTGAGCAAAACAGTTCATTTCATGGTCTTGCTCATTCTTATACAGCTTGTGAAGTAGCTCAATCATTCCTTGGCAATGTCTTTAAATTACATGGTTTTCATGACACTATCTGTAACATCATTCCTCTTTATATAAATAATTTACTGCAACAACTTATATTATTAAAAACATGATTAAGAAAATTTATAGAAAATTATACAACTTTGAATAAATGATAGATATAAAAATACAAATTAATAAAATTTGACGAATTTACTAAATCTTTCAAATTAATCTTTCGCTATCAATGAAATAAAA